TCATAATGCAGCACGCTCTTCTGACCTCCATCATAAATAGCGCATTACCTTCGCGTTATTGGTTTTAACGTTGATTTGCCTGGTTGATCTGGTTTCACATATCACTTATTAGTATGGTATTCCGGTTAAGGGTTGTCATAATTTTTTACTACCAGTCAAAATCCGATGCGTCTTTCGACGTCTCTTCGCTTCAATTCATATGGCATCCAATTTCCTTGCTTTTGAATGCAACCGATCACTTTAAAACGTTTTGAAATGACTGCTTGTGTGACTTCCTAAGATTCTGCGAGTTCTGCTTGTGTTTGGCAATATTTTTCAACTCTTTTGGCCGCCCAGGACGATCTTCATCCGCCAACTCAAAATCACCATTTTTACATCGTGTGAACCACTTTTGACACGTTCGCTCAGCTAGAACATATTCACCATGAACTTGCAACAAAAGATGACTTTCGGCTGAAGATTTCGTCATATTAAAGAAATGAAGAGGAATTCTCCGGAAAAATACTTTTTCAGGAACAAAGTTTGATATACTGTTTAGGTGAAAAAAGCTCACAACAAAAATTATATTTATATATACAAATAGGCAAGCGGATATTAAAATCACTAAATTATTTTAGAGTTTCATGCCTTGATCTCTTAGAGGATCTTACATCCTATTTCACGGTAAACCTGCAATAGATTCCAGGGCATAGTGATATGCCTGACAACTGTGATGCAGATGAACTAGCCAGACATGACATCTCCAAATTGGCATTTTCGATTCACCACTTCTCTGCTCAGTACTTTAGAGCGTCGCTTTCACAAAATAAACATGTAAAAGCAAAAATATCCATTTTCCAGTTGTATTTAGTACTGGAAAGTACTTAGAACGTCATTGAAGCGATATAACTATCCCTACTTGCTTCTGCTACTCCATTAAATTTAAAAGAGTTGTTGTTCGATTTGTCACTTGCTAAAATTCGACAAATTGATGACTGCAGCTCATATGTTTTTAGCAAATTTTACAAAAAATTTATAGAAATCTTTCGCTTACCAAAAGCAATTATTTGTAAATGACTTTGTCTGCCCAAGCCTGCATTTGGCTTGTAAAGCTTTCTTCGTAAATTCATACCACACCACAACGAAACTCGAACAGAGCAGCAGTTATGCACGGATTGCACTTCAGCTATAGCGGCCATTCAGCAGCCGATTTAAAACGCTTAATTTTTATTTCCGAAAATCTAAATAAATTCAGTTGATTCTTACTTTCACACACTAAATTTTTTCCAATGTTCGAATTCGAAACAATGTCGAATCAACAAATCCAGCGATTAACGATTAACACACTTAGCGCACCGGGTGGGTGAATGCCTGCCTAAAATGGAGCGGCGTCGAAAAGTCTGGGAACGTTGAAGAGCAATCATCGACAGCCGCATGAACGGTGGCGGCAATCGTTTGCCAATGCCACTGCCGCTCTCAAGAAACACACACAATTATATATAGTAGTAGTAGTATGTGTGTGTGTTTGTGTTTTTGTATGGCCAATCCGGCCGGCTTGCCTTCACTTTATTAAGGGCAATAAACAAATTAACAACTTTTTAAAGCAAATCTTCGACGCGTACAACTTAACGCCTGGTAGCGTGGCGAATCGAAAAATGTGAGTCCGTTAAATGTTTCAACAGTTTTGTTATATATGAGCAACAAACACATATACACAGTACAACAACAGCAACTAGTTGAGTGTGTAGGCCTTAATAAATGATTTCGTAAATGTTAATGTTGTCATGGTGTTTAAGTTGTGTTCATTCGTCACCCACCATTCCCCGCCATTGTTAGAGCCACTTCACAGGGTCCACCGCTCTAAGTACGCCGCTCGCTTATTTGGATTGTTGGGCGTGAATTTACATTCGAATATGTGTTGTGATTATCGGCTATTAAGAAAACCGTGAAATTGGATTACAATAAAATGGAAATGAGATTGAAAGGTTACGAAGTTCATAGTGTTTAGTGCTGTTATGATTTTCCAAGTTTTTTTATTTTTTATTTTGTATTGAATAAAGTTTTGGATTTAGCTATGGATTTAAAAAGTGGGATTTGTTTTCCCAAAAGCTAAAGATAGTTCACTGTATTACAAAATTTGTCTACGTACTGAACAAAAATTATTTCTTGTTTATAAATCCGTTTTTAAAATATGGTCACCTTGAATGATGTCAATAATTAATGTAACTTAGCAACCACTTGATATACATAGCTCTCTTTCCAGATGTCCTTTAATTCAACGGCAAATTATATTTGAAGATCTTAATCAGTTTCAGTAAGCCAGACTTATTCCATTCAAACCCTCTACAAAATGAGAAGAATCCTGTCATAAGATATGTTAATGCTAACTGAAGATTTTCGAACACATTTTTAATAAAATTTTCATATCTCATTATCATGGATTCGCACGAGGTGTAGTCAATACTTGCGAACCCTTAACATAAAACAACATATTGGGGTAGTGAGTTGACCATTCGCCTCTGCTATTCAAGTAATAACTTCATTCACTTTTCGGACTGGACCTGGTACTGTCAACAGAGGCCAGATGGTATTACATTGCATAACGCAGAGTAAATGCTGTTGCATAATGAGCCTGACATTTACTTGTGGTGCCGCTCAGGCCCAACCCTTGACTTGCATTCTTTGGACTCTACCTTATCTGCTACTATAAAGAAATGCATGCACTTGCTCAAAAGAAACTGAGTCGATGGGAAAAACCTACAACGAACCAAAATCTCTATCAAAAACCTTAATCGCTGGAGTTATTTTGTTGCTGCCTTATGCTCCGCAAGGAGCCAGTGGAACTAAGAAGAACATGTTACAATCAAAGCTTCAAATATAGATTAAGGCTCATTTGATCTATTTGGTACTGACTCCAACAGAGATAAGAGACAACTCTTTACCGAATTAAAAAATACTCAAGCTATTTTTAAGTTACTTGAACTTATTTCAGGTAGGCGTCCCACTTAGAAGTGGCTCGTTCTTTAACCACGTAATCTAGTCAGACTTGGGATGGTCCTACAGATTCTATGTACATTTTTTATGTCACAAATACACTCGGACCAATACCTGATCCATTATTTTATGTCCCACGGGTTAATGTCATATTTAAAGGCATTGAAGGAGCTCGTTTAGTATGGACCAAATTTTCGTTACAATCTTTAAATGTATACACGCATCAACAACTAGTTCATATGTGTAAACGAATCTACAGTCGATCCTTCTAAGCCGATCTTATATTATATAATACATACTTCTTATTGAGCGGTCTAAGCTATTAGCGAACGGGAACAAAGGCTTTATGCAGTACGCTCTAAAATATTTCTGAAAATAAGTTGAGAATCACTAACTTATCTCTTTTTTGGATACATAATGATATACCAAACTAGTCAATATGACGCAATCAAACGACTTCAACAATCATAGGCCATTTGGAACCACTCTTTAACATTTTGTACCAAAAACAATCAGCTCTTGTAAAATTGTGAGGACGGATCACTAAAATGTATATAAAATTCTACTAATGTAATATATGGGGTTAAATAATAATTAAAATATTAAACGAGAAACATTTGCTTAAGAGATAAAAATTGATCTCTGGAAACACGCTGACTTTGGAAAATTCCTTTAAAATACATATATGTATCTATTTCAATAATTCCATGTTTATTTTAAGAATTGATCTCAACTCGTCTACAAGCATATTAAAATTAGCAAATATTCCGATGACTTTTAATTTCTTACTATTAGCCATTTCCATCATCACTCTATTTTTAGCTTTCTTCTCAGAAATCAAAGAAACACCACTATACTGCCAAATGGCGCAAAATGAAGTTGTATCTCATAGGAAAATAAATGCCGCAATTGTTGTTGTGTGGCAGACCCACTTCTTCAGCTGCTAGTCGGTCTCTTAAATTTTATTAATATTTAAAAAGAAATCAGCGTACGATTTAAATGCTAATACGCATTCGAAAGCTTAGCTCCAGCCGCGTCGCGCACGCACGCTCAGCTGTCGCCTCCCGCGCAGCGTACACTCGATTAACTTGTTTCGACCGCTTGCTCTGCGTACTCTACGCATACGCTTGGCCAGCTATTCTTCGCTATTTGTCGCTGACAAAAAATCCAAATAAAAATGGGAAAAGCAAAAAACGCCTAATAAATAATAATAAAAATGTAGATAGCAATTTATTAAGAGACTCGTGCATAAAAATCATAGTTTATATTATAAGAGACATGTCGGCGTTGGACAAACAAATACAAAGCCATAGTGTGTCCGTTACGATGGACAAGTGAAACACCAGCACAAATGAACAAAAGCAAATCGAAAAAGAAATGAGATGCCAGACAAAACAAAGAGACAGCCAAAAGCATAAAAAAATAATACATTTTAAAATATACACACGCACTCACGCATATTTATAGTCAAGCTTGAATATTTAAAACTGCGCTACAGATGGCCGCATCGACGAGCCGGGTGTTGATGGCAAGACAGATAGCGAAAAAGCAGCACCAGACGAATTGGCAACATGTCATTGTCAGCGTATTCGCGCGGCATTGGCCTTTGCGACGAGACGCCACGGCCCACGCAAACGACGCACACAAATGATATTTGCAAAAATTTTAAATGTTTTTCGTAGTTTTAAATTTTTGAATTTTTTTATGGGTTTCAAAGAGTTCAGAGCCAAGCGCGTTCGAAATATCATACTTTAGCGCTAAGTTATGGGCGGAATTATTGGGTTGTAATTGATATCTTCGGATTGGTGAACGAGGAGAAAGCTTAAGGTTTTACTAAATTTCATGGTTATTTCATTTTATTGAAGCAATCATAAATAATAATAATAATGTTTGCGTAGTAAAACGGAGTAAAGTGTTCCAAAAAAAAAAATGAAAACATTTTAGACTTAGTTGGCTTACTGACATTAGTGCTTATTGCAGACTGTTGGCGTTTCTTCTATATGCTCAAAATATTATTCTTCATAATGCTCAAAACATTTTTACTGCATTGAAATAATCTCCAAGCATTTTCTTCAGTCTGATTGAAACAACTACGAGGAATATATGTTATGCATAAATGCAACAGTCGCTACTTCTGGCGTCGAAATGCGAGTCTTTCGTTTTAAGCTTCTGAAATAAAAGCAAGATATTCTAACCATAATGGTATCATCAAATAATAATAAAATAGTATAATACTTTAACATATACTTGAGATCACCACCACGACAGCGGAGTTTAAACATAGCGAGCAGAAAAATGTCGAATCGAAGAGTACGAGTAACAATAATGTATTTGAGAAAATTGTTTGAAAACTCATTACTAAGAATTTAAACTTTAAAAGTCGTAAATCGTACATCTATTGTTTGAAGTGATAAGATGACCATGTAAAATACCGCTCTATAGCTCCAACAGCTTATACAAAATTAGATAAGTAGGCCCAACCTCTGATATTACCTTAGGTATGTATTAGAAAAGATTCTTATATGTATACTCTCAAAAACCAAGGATTTTGCATTTTTTTTTTTTTTTTGAAGAATTGTTATTATATTTTCATTATTATTCATATGGGCGTAAAAGACAAATTTTAGCTTTGTATGGAAAGACTGCATCTGAATATTAAGTATATAATATTACTTAGAATTTTTTTTCTGTAATTTTCAGATTCTTTCAATTATTTCCTGCTCACTGGAATGCCACCAATGGTTCTATTTAATTAATGAACAGCTGTCCCGAATTATTGTTCGAGGGAAACGAGAATTTGTGCAGCAACCAATTGAGGAATTTAATGAATGACCATAACGAATCAATTTTCAAGAATCTGGCTTAACATGTTGGCGTAGTGTATTAAATGATTGTGTTAGAGATGTATAAAAGTCATCAAATACTTTATACTTGTAGTGACTACAACGATATATTACATACTGAAGTACCAACATTATAGCAGAGGTAGTAATATCAAAGGCACCTACCAATTAAAGCATAAGCTTTTATACTTCATAATATCGAATATAAATATTTACAAGTATGTATGGAATATTGTATATAGAAATTGAGAGGATCGTATAGAGTCGGTTGTCCAAGATTTAGATATATATTTTCAACTGCTGTTGGGAAAATCGCTATACTTTATTTATATCTCAGATACCACTTAACTAAGTAGTATTAACTACTTGTGCCTACTTAAAATATTTTCAGTAAATTCTAGGCTGTAGAAAAATGCAAGCAATGTCTCCGGAGGAAGCCACATCAAATCGATCTAGATGTGAAGAATGCCTTCAACCCAGCAAATGAGGCAAATATAATTAACGTTCTGTATGAAATACGCGCTCCTCAATATCTTGTAAACATTAAAATAAACTATTTTGAAAATAGACAACTAATACTTGACAATATTAAACGAGTCGCACGTTCGATTAATGGACCCAAAATGAGTTGGCCACCGATCACGACTTTCACAAGAAATTTGTTCAGCGATAAAATTTATTTTTAAACCTTTGGTACCCCATCCCAAACCCAAGAAAATATTTTGTATGGAGCTATTTTAGTATGTATTTACTGTTTTGGAACAAAAGAAATTATTTCGAGAGTTTCAAACTCACAATTCAAAAATTCAATAGCAGACAGACTAAACAAAGATTGCAACTTAAAATGTTTTGAAACTACAATAAATGTGAAAATACAGAGATTTCAGGTGAATTTTTCACTAACTTTCGCCATAGACAGGAACATGAATCAATCATTTGCTTCTAGGTCGGAACTATGAGGTGGAAGCACAATAATCTCCCAACCAAGCTCGCGGAGCTTCTGGCGAGTTACTATCGACGTGCGTGGTCAATAGTCTGTCTGAAGTTGTCCTGATGGAACACAATTCCTCTCTTATTGTTCAAAGCTAGCCACTGCGGAGCTATTGTTTCGCTCAAATGCTTCAATTATTAACACAGGTATTACAGGTCCGAATAAAGATTTTGAATAGATGATAGATGATTCCTAGCTAATCCCAACAGATATATAGCAATTCCACCTTCATTAGTATTCCACATTTCATCACCAGTAATCATACTCTTCAGAAATGGATCGATTTTGTTGTGATGCAGCAGCGATTCGCAGATGAAAATCCGGTTCATGAGATAGATTAAGTTTGTCAGGAAGTTTGTAACACTCAGAAAGAAACGTCGGAAACCCTATGAAATATATACATAAATGATCATGAAGCAAGATGAGCTGAGTTGATTAAGCCCTGTCCGTCTGCTGGCCGTCCGTCCGTCTGTATGTACGCGAACTAGCCTCTCAGTTTATAAGATATCGATCTGAAAATTTGCACCTGTCCTTTTCTCACGAAGAAGCTGCTCACTTGTTGAAATGCTCGATACCGGAAAACTATAGCAAATAGCTGCCATACAAACTGAACAATCAGAATCAATTGCTTGCATGGAAAACTTTTTAAGCGGGTATTCTATTTTAAAAGCCGGAACTTTAGGCTCTTTTTCGGAACCGATAAAAAAAACTAGATATATTTTTTACCATAAATTTTTTATAGGTTTTTTATTGATATTTAGAGAGTACAAATCATTTATAATATTAAACAAAACAAAAATGTCAATAAATTCTAGGCCGGCAAAGTGGGGACTGATGAAAAAATGGCGTCTCCTGGTGTACAGGATATCAGGACTCCCAGTAACCCGTAAGGAAAATTATTGAGTGATCCTTAGAGAGGAAGGAGAAGAAGCCGCCATCTTTTAAAAAATATGTTTCGGTATATCCGTTTTTTGCTGTTTGGAATTTTTTAAAAATATAAAAAAAATATAAATATTTCAAAAATCCACCCGTAAAAAGTAGTTCAGAGAAAAACAACTTTAAAGTTTGCGCCGAGCTGTCAGCCGTCTCTGTCGGCGCATCATAAAATAAGCCATAACTTAAAAAATAATTAAAATTTCAAAAAACCGCTTAAGGGACAAAACAAAATCGAATTTTTCTAAATTTCTAAACCAGCATACCCGCTTAATTTCACGAGACATCTTCACGAAATTTGGAACGGATTATTATCGAAGACAATAATGGAATCTTCGAAGAAATTAACATGTAATGCATTAAGGTATTTAAATGTTTTCATGGAAGGCAGCGGTCTGATATAAGTTGCTGCGATGATGCCACCCATTTCAAAAATTAAATTGACCGAAGCTGAAATTCTTAATAATTTTTTGAGAAGATAATAAGTCAAGGTTACGAATTTGTAAAGTTATCACCTAATTTAAGTAAGTTAAGTAAAAAATTATCAAATGAAGTCCTCCAAGCATATCTGAAAATGTCGTGTACATCTCTAATGTACATATGTAAAGGCCTTTTTTTATAATTACCAATCACAAAATTAGTACACGAACATTTCATTAAAAAATGAGTGATAGTTAATTACATGTTTGCCGCTCAAGCACCCACTGCCACCAACAACATATAAGCGCTAAGATGAGATACCACCTAAAGGAGCCGACAAGCTTTAAGAAAGAAAGGTTAAGAAGCAGAGAGAGTTTAAAAATCAGAAAACAGCAGGCAACCTTACAAATACGGTGAATGTAAATAACAACAACAATAACAACGAAACAACCAGAAAGCAATTCATAAAACTACAAAACTAAGACAAATTATAATAACAAGCACAGATGGGCACAAAATTCGACACGCACACTTGCCACACATATGTATGTATGTTTGTTTGTTTGTTTGCATGTGTGTTAGTTATAATATTTTGTTATAAATTCCAGCAAAAACTCCTCCGACAGTTGAGAGGCAAATTAAGTGCCGCGGGATATCGTCGTCAGCAGGCAGCGCAACGCAACACGATATCGCCCACCGCTGTGTCCCGCTTGCCTTGCCACACAGCCCTGCTGCTTCCCACGAGCAGCGTGCCTCCACCTACTCCAACTGCGAAAGTGTTGCGCCGGCGTACGGCAGTTCCGCCATTCACCAGCTATTAGCGCAATTAAAGTGTGTCTGCCACAAAATTCACTTTATTAATAATACACGTGTTGTTGTTATTGCTAGTTTGGCGTACGCATCATTTGTCAAATTTTTAATGATATTCGAGGGAATATGAAATTAAAACATGTAAACTCTGTGGCAGTAAGCTGATACGAAGGTGCGTGAAGGGACCGCCTCCACAAAGCGCTGCGTGCATGTCTATATGTGTGTGTGTGCTTGGAATACGAAATGGTTAAATATTGCACCACGAGGCAGCAACTTCTAGGCTTCGACTACTATTTTCATTTTCTTCTCCTGCTTGTGATTTGTAAAGCGTTTTGTTTGGCGATATCGCGCAGCCGCAGCGCTGTTGCAAGCGAATGATTTATGACACTGCCGCAGCGCCTACAAAAATCACGATTATTTCTTACTTCATACGGCATGTGCGGCTGTCGATGGGGGAGCAGTGGCGCGTTTTTATGAATGCTTGATAAAAGCCAAGTTGCGCTTTTCTTTTAACTTGCCACACGGCGCAGGCAACCTGCAAACTACTGTCATGCCACAAGTTGGTGCTGTGTATTGGAAATCAATTGATGTGCAATTCAAAGCGTAGCAATTCAATTCACTCGACAATGTGTGGAAGGGTGCACTCGGCAGCGTGGCAGCGCCTAACAATTGTGGCAACACCGCTGAACTTACAAAAAACAAACAAAAAAAATTAACAAAAGCAACAACGCCTCTTGCGCCTGTTTCGTGGCTGCGCGAAATGAGTAATGTTCGGCCGTCAATGCGCTGTCAGCTGAAAAGAATGCGCAGACGCCGGGCTGTTGTGCGCTGAACAGCTCACTCGGCCGCGTCGCGCTGCGGCCACCGTTGGCTGCTGCCGTCTACGCTTTCTCACCTCTTGCTGTCGATCGTGCTTTTGTGCTTCTTCGCCAGCTTGACACCGCATGTGGCAACATATATTCACCGACTTTTGGTTTTGTTCTTCCAAGCGACTGCTGGTGCTTCTAATAAAACAGCTGCTTCGTCAGCGGCAAGAACAACAATTGCTGTCGCTTATTTGATTCAGTCAGAATTCCATTTTTTATTAGCTGCTGCCGCTGCTGCTATTGCTTCTGGTGCTTCTGATGCTGATGCTGTTTGATTGATGTTCGTTTGTTTTGTAAACTCACTTTGTTGTTGCTATTATTGTTGTGTTTGTTATTGTTCTTTTTGATATGATTTGCTAAGGTTACTTGCGCTGTTGCCACATGTTGTGCAGCATTGTGATTTCTTGTTTTGTTATTTCATTTGTTGTTGTTGTTGTTGTGTATAAATTGGTGTTTGTTGTGGCTACCAATAATATGTTGGGCGATAAGCACCGGCACACAGTAAAAAAATGAAGTCAAAATATTTTTTGTATTAAATTACAATAAATTCGTTTGCCTTGGTAAAATTTCTTCTGTGGTTTGTAAAGTGATTTTGGTTCGAGAGATTTCGTTCGAGCCTACAATAATGCTGTAAGAGTTTCTTCTTATACAAGCTAACAGATTTTCTGATTTTGCTATGTAATCTCATAGGTTAGTATTGATTTGGGATTTGACCTCACGCAAATAGAAAATTTGAACCGGACAGGTCCATATGTATTGCGCGCCCAAACCGAACCAATAAAAAATAGTATCTTATTTCTCTTTGTTTATGTTAATGTAAAGTATGATCTTCATATGTCAGTCAGTGTGTGCCTTACAAGTGTTTGTTTACGACGCGAAAAACTTGTCTGTCAATTTTTACGAAAAAAAAATATTTATAACAAAAAGTTTGGTTGAAATTTTGTATTTCCAATAGAATCACAGCAACAGAATCATTGAAAATTTGGCAGAAGTATTTTAGAATGTCTACTTTATCACGAACCAAAGTAATTGACGGGCACAAAGTTGTTAGTGAAGGTAGTGAAGTCATCGAAAACTTGCTTCATGAGAGCCGCCCATCCACCTCTATTAATGACAATAACAGCGGAAAAAGTTAAAGAAACAGTTCCTAAAAATCGTCATGTTGGCATGAGAGAGGTAGCAGAGGATCGCAACATCTCTTATGGATCGACTTACTGCATTTTGGTTATTAAACATATCGATACCAGACTCGTACCAAAAGACCTAAACCTTTTGCAAAAACTACGTCGAGTAGCGGTCGCAAAAGAGTTGCTTAACAACGTACCTGAGACCCCTACATTTATCAAACGCATCATTACTGTTGACGAAACGTGGGTTTATAAATATGACGTCGAAATTGTTCAAAAATCTAGCAAATAACTCACTAAAAATGAGGTAAAACTGACAAAACCATAATTTATCGGTCACCTGGCCTTTACCTTCCGGTCAAAGATTAAATAACGCGGAAATGTGGATTTTTTCGTCAGTCCGGTTTAAATTTGATCAGAAGAAGAATTAATATTGTGGTCATATTTCATAGATTATTCCATTGTATAGATTTTTAAAGAGTACAGATAATGCACTTATTTCAGCGTTTTTTCAAATCCTCAAAGCACTTAAAAAGTAATTTTTTGTAAACTTTTTCAGCTCGTATTTTATAATATGATATATTCTGAAGTCAGGTTATAGTGAAATTATTTTTAAGGGTATAACAGGATGTAAGAGGTTTGTTCAAAAAGTATCGCAAATTTTCAATTTTCGCCGGTATTTTTGATAGTTTTGTTTGTTTATGTTGGTACTTATATACTTTACTTATGCTGACAAGTTCGGTCATTTTGATTTTTCAGTTAATTTAATAATAATGTAGTTAAAGACAGCTGTTTTGCTTGGTTCGTCTTCGCTTTTGCATACTCTAAAAAATGGATCAAGAATTTGTATACAATTTTGTGATAAGCGTTGCCAGCTGTGTTGATTTAGACATCTAGGTCTGTATATAAGCTCCTCAGTTTTTAAGGTATTGATATGATATTGTGCACATGCTCTTTTCTCCTCACGAAACTCGTCAGTTATCGGAACTTATATCAGTCACTAAAGCATATAGCTACCATATAAACTGACCAATCTAAATCAAGTTGTTGTATGGAAAACTCTTTAAATATCTTTACGAAATTTATCATAGATTAAGGCAACGCAGCAATTTCCGAACATATTATTCAAATTAGACAATAGAACAACCAACTGGTATAAATCTCATAAATTATCCTAATATAAAAGAGATAAAGTAGCTTAAGGTTATACTAATTGAATGGGATCTTCTAATACTGTTGAAATAAATTAAACTAAATAACTAAGTTGTAGCTTTGACATGCAAAATTTTAGATGGAGAAGCGACATGTAAAGATAGCGAGCAGAGAGAGTGGCGAATCAAAGACTTTTGTAAATAGATCAGCTAGCGATTATACCACTTCAATGACATATTCACTTGGCACTTAATTTAACTGTATAACTTTGTTTTTGCCTCCATATACATATATTTGTTAGATAAGAGAACATAAAGCGATCAGAGCAGTGTCGAATCCAAAAAGGTAAGGTAATACAAAATGGAACCTTCCACTTGGCGTTGTGAATTAATAAAAGCCATAAGTATTTAAACCGAAGAATATTTCCTGTCAATGTGTTTTAGCTATAAAAATTCAATTTCTGAGAAGTTCTTTATAAAATACTTGTATATCTTCTTCAAACAATTCCAATTTGTGGTTTGAGAAGCTGTTCGAAAAATGTCAAAATTGTGGTTATACAATAAATAACCATTTTTAAATCTGTTAAAATATTTGTTTATATTTTTAAAAAGCTTGTAGGAGTTTTTTGTTGTTAAACCTATGTGTCCGATTGACCTGACATAAAAAAATGTATACAACCACAAATTTCAATTATTCAACATTTTTCGCTCAGTGTATAAATATTAATTTTCAATTTCTTTAGTTTTAGCACCGTCCCTTTCCTGCTCTCTGCTTTGTTTCGCTTGATCTACTGTTGTTGGTGGTTATTTTATTTTTGGTTTGTCGAAGAGTAATTGCTGCCAACGCCGAACATGACGTTTATGCCAAGCGGAACATGATAGTTTCGCGTCTAATTAATGTTGCCTCGCATGTGAAACGAATACAAAAGTCAACGCGCACCTTCAAGTACGCAGAGGGATATTACCAAAGGCATACATTTAATGAGAAGAATTATATTATTAACCTGAGGAAAGCGCATGCGCAGTTACTTACGTGCAACGCGATGGAAAAGCGACGAAAAAAAGTAGAATATTTTCATGAAATTTACGATGTGACAAAGTGACCTGCGTTATCTGTTGATTTGTGTGACAACGCTGCTCCTGCACCGAGTGAATGAAACATTAAATGCAACAACCACAAAATAATAAAGCGAATACAGTATCAACAAGTGGCGCAACAACCGCTGATGCGTTTTTATTACGCGTAACTGCCACTGTCATTGCGCATGCGCAGCCAGAAACAGCGCCAAACTGCGCCAAAGTGACCAGTGACCATCTTGAGGCGCAGCCGCAGCCTTGCACCACACAATGACACGTGATAATATAAAAATCGTTTGACCGTCAGTAACAACATTGCTTTTGCCATCGTCGCTGCTGCTTTTCACCATGTCAAATGGCAGTCGCATATTTGTCTCATATTACAGTGGCCACTGTTGCCTTGTCTGCTGCATGTGGCATGGATGCAAAGTGCCAGCATTGAAATGCACAGCAACTATTAAAAATGAGTTTGTTGGTCAATCATCGCTGCATGTTTGCTGTTTTGCAGCTGTCGACTACTGTTGAAATGCTATGAGTGCTGTTGTTGCCTGTGAAATTGCCTCGTTTGCCGTAGTATGCGGTCGCCTGGGTTGCGGGACGAAAGTATCCTTCCGTATATAATTTTATTTTGTATTTGTTGTTGTAGTTGGCACTCTCATGCTACTCATGCTGCTGACGTGGCCCAAACATGTTGCTGACATTGAACAGCTGGCATGTTGGCCGTCATGTTGGCTGTTGTTGCACGTGTACTGCTACCTGCTACCTGTATTTTATTATATTACAAAGCTGGAAAGTAAATATTATGCAATCACACATATGTACATATATATAAATATGAATATTTGTGCGAATCAAACTTATTTGAAGGAAGAAAAAACGTTAACTTAGATTGCACCGAAGCTATAATACTCTTCACAAATAAAAAAGATTAGCCTATAGTGATTTTTTTAACCAAGGAAGAGGCCGAAATAGAGAACCTTTTACCTGAAAAATATTAAATTTTTTTTTAAATTCATTGTGTATTCTTAAAATATACTCTTAAATTAACGCAACTGTTACAGCATTTTTTTTATTTCCACGAGTTATTTATATCATTTATAGTTACGAGAGCGATTTAGTGAGTTCTACAGATCTTTCTAACTTTAAAAACAAAGGAAACTTTGAAACAGTAGAGATTTATTTCTCAACATATTCTCCTTTTAGCTCGACAGGTACCCAGCGAGGTCTGAAATATACCTTTTCTGACTCAAATTAGTATTCTCGTATTCGAAGGTAACTACACCTTGCGAATCCTAGCAAACGGACCGATCCGGGCGAATGTAAAAAAAAATCGATTTCCCTATATATCAAATGTATATATATTTGAGAATTTTTCCTAAAATTTAAAGCTGATCCTGCAAATACTTCCAGAGATAAGAGCGTATTTGCAAGAGTTCTTTTACTCCCAGAAGTTTAAAGGCTTTTTTCTCGAAGCGCTGTTTTCTGAGTAGGGTGTTGGACCGATCGTCTTAAAATCATTTTTCAATCAAAATTAATCATTGAAAGAAACGGTTTTATAATGATTTTGATATTTAAGCTACGCTGAAGTGTAAATTTTTTACCAAGAAAACAATTTTTTTTTGAGAAGCCGCACTTTTGTCAAAAACAAAAATTTTCAGTAAACTTACTCACCGCCAGACAGCTTCTGTTGGAGATAATCCTGTAGACCGGCAACAGAGTCAAGGAAACCCAAAACTTTTCTAAATGTTAAGTGCTGTAAATGTACGTGTTTGTTTATTTATTAATAAAATAAATTTTCTCTAAAAAAATATATCAAAAAAGGCGTTTTTTCTGACTAGCCAGTGTACATAACCTCTTAAATTATTATATAATATTATAATTAGCCGAGCTATTGCTTTTCGTACTCATTGAATGAAACTTCGTATCCAACGAATTCGACTAGGGTCTCGAGTTCATAATCTTCACTGAGTGTTTCACTGCTATTAACATTCCGCAAAATGCGAAGATCTATTTTCATAACTTTAGTGGGCTTCGCACGTCTGTCCCCGGCTATTATTTTACATTCTTCAAAAAGCATGCTTTCTACAAGCATTCTAAGAATTCTCTAGCGTTGATGTCTTTAGTCCAAGAGACCGAAACTCATATCGTGGTCACTCAGCCTTTGTTGTTATCGTTGTTGTGACAGAAAATATTTCCCGAACCATTTTTAGTGAATGCTGCCGAGAGAGGAAGTGCTACTTACGTATGTGGGGTAGCCAAAGAGTTGCGATCTCTTGGTCATTTACTACTAAGTTTCGTCAGGGAAACTAAGTCTTTCAACATAAAGAACCTAACTTTGCCTAAATCTTCAATCATAAAAGCGAACTGCATAAGTTTTCCCAAATCGAGAAGAGACATCTAAGGAATTGAGTTTTGGTCTTTCTTTTCAATTGGCAAGACGAGCTGCATAACAGGTTCCAAGTTCGTGTAGAAATCAAGTGCAATTCAAATTTTCATTAACAACTTCCTGTTGGCGACTAACACTTGGCAGACACCAGACACAAACACAAACAAACAAGTAGAATTATAAAAAATACCAGAGCGCACTGCTGCCGAAAGCGACACGGGACGAGGCGATAAACGTTTTGGTGAGTCAAATGACATGTAAAATAAATAAATGTCGACGGCGTCGAAGTGACAGCGTTACGATTTTGAATTTATGGCACGATGTAGCACAAGCGGCCTGAATACCGCGAAAGGAAAGCCGGGGAATATCTTCAAACGCAACAACAACAACAACAAAAGCAAATTGGTGCAATTGAAAAAAGGAAGAAAAGACATTGAAAAGGACACCGCGTGACAACGACCAACAAGCGCACACACGAATACATACATACAAATACAAGCGGTTGCATATAACTGTGCCACAGCGCGGCGCATTGCCACGTGAATTGCCACGCAAAGCGGCAATGACGTTGCATGGTTGTATGTATGTATATAAGTGTGTGTCATGCAACAAGCAGCAGTGGCAGTGGCAGCGGCAACACTTGCAACTTGGCGTACAAATGCGAGGAATGAACATTCGATTTGGTGAAAGAAACAAATTAATTAAAGGAACCAACAGATACGCTAACTTAAGCTATTCATTCAATAAATCAACTTATATTTGCAACAGCGGCATGAGGCCACGCAACAACAACAAGTGCAGCAACAACAGTGGCAATAAAAAGAGCAACGCAATAACACAGCAGCCAAATTGTGGCAGTGGCAAGAGCTGTGCTAACCGAGCTCTCAATATTACAGAGAGGTGGGGAGTAGCAGAGACGCGAGGGGCATGCCAGCGCTGCATAGACCCAACCAAATGCGATGTAGCGTAGCGTGGCATGCCAATACTTGTGGCGCGATGGCGTGGCATGTCGCCGCGGCGACATTGAAAAGGATACAGTCGCCTTGTCTGCGCCGTCGCGAATGAGTGCGCGTCGAGGACGACGACATGTCTCTTGCTGAATGCTCGTCTGCCGCAGCCATTGGCTTACGATGTGCACATTGTAACTTATTGTTGTTGTTCTTGTGTGGTATAGTTAGCATACACAGTGATTTTATTATATGTAGCTATTAATTTCAATTTGTGTGTGTGTCGGTAATTATACGCAAGTTTGTGTCTTAAGTCTTTAGTTTGGTTTTTTTTATTTACTAGAAATATGATCAAATAATTTCAAACTTTAAAAGAGAGTTTCTCCTAATCTACTTTACGTTGATGAAACCTGAATTAAAGACTTTAATTCTCATGAATCCATAAGTGCGGCACTTACCTAACTGCTTCTTGTCAATTTGCCTATATATCCGTTATTTATGTTATTGGTTGACTCGTTGGTTTCCCGGATGTGCCCACAACTATCGTATCTACATCCAGACAAATTACAGCGTCATAATCAACTTTTAGCGGTAATGTTGCAAAATGGCAAAAAGAATTGTACACCGCATCCGCATCCCAATTCCATTCGATTGCAGTGACTTTGGGCTAAGTTGCGGACTGAAATGCACACAGAGAAAAAAATTTAGCGGTGAAAATAAAATATTGCTTAGGGTAAAGATAGCCGTAGAGACAGAGATAAAAATAAAAATAATGATATAGATGGAGATGGAGATAGAGATAAAGGTTAAGATCAAGATAAAGATAAAGACATAGATAGTGATAGAGATAGAGATGAAGAGAGAGATAGAGATGGAGATAGACCTAGAGACAGAGATAAAGACAAATATGAAGATGAAGATGAAGATAAAGATAAAGATAGATAAAGGATGGAGAAAGAGATGGAGATAGACGTAGAGACAGAGATAAAGATAAAGATGAAGATGATGATAAAGATTGAGATAGAGATAGATGTAAGGATATTATAATTTTTATACTAGATAAAATATGTTTGTCCAAAATTATACAATCAAACCCGAGAATTCGTTATCTCGAAATAAACAGTAAGGTAAAGATAGATTAGATAAGGTGTGTCGTGCTTTACCACTACTGAGAGTTTAAATTTAATGCGTATGTAGCAGACGGGATGAATAATGGATTGGACAGTAATACATGTTAAATTTTTCTGCATATATCTCGTCAAATACAAAAGTTTTCCATATAACGACTGGATTTTGATCGATCAGTTTGTATGGCAGCTATGTATATGGGGTCCAATATCGACTTGCTCGATAGAAAAGGACGTATACAAAATCTCAGATCGATATCACAAAAACCGAGGGACTAGTTCGCATATACACAGAAAGACGGAACAACAAGCGGTCATGGCTTAATCGACTCAGCCCGGCATGCTGATCATTCATATATATTATATATTTTGTAGGATCTTCGGCGGTTCCTTCTGGATGGCTTAATATACACTGTTCAGGGTGTAAACATATGTTTTATTAAAGTTTTATTTTATTATACGTTTTAGATAGGAGCGCAGGCAATACACCGATTATATTGTACATAGTGAATTCACAATATTTCGCCACCATTTTTAATCTACTATTGCTCTTTCGCTTAAAAGAAACTCTTAGTCTTGTCGCAGCTTTCCAGCGATTATTCTCTCGAAGTCTGAGAAAAGGAGGAGGTAGCTAGGTAGGGTTCGAAGAATATGGTTCACTGGGTTCATCGTATTTCCGAAAAATTTCATACTTTTCAAACCGCTGTTGATACAAATCATTATATAATAGGTTAAGAAATCAAAACCTCTCTATTTTCAACCAATCTTTTTTTGCAGTGTATAAAACTGTCTCTTGTCTGCACGCCTCATTGATATCGCGTCCTCGCCGATGTGGTTTTTCCACAGCATTTCATCGGACGCACACTTTAACGCCAACAAAAGCAAACACCCAACCACTTATATACCCACTCATAAAGCGATGGAGACTCATAGTCACTGCTTAACTCGCCAGGGAAATTTGTAGCATGTAGACCGGTGAAAATTCACTGCCGCGCGGTGGCAAAGTCGTGCAGATTCCCACAGCGTAACGTGCAACAACTAATACCATGCAGCGCTTGGCTGCAGTTAAACAACCACTTGGGCTGACTGCATGAAATGGAATGATCTCGTAATGGCGCGGGTGCGTGCGCCCACTAACCGACCAACTGACCAGTAGTGCACTAATGTTGTCACACAAAGCCACCGTCTGCAAGCCTTAACTGCCACAGCCACAGCAGTGATTGTCGCTGTTGCAAACTAAATTGTCTGCCATGCACCGAAATGCAACCTCCACCACCACTCAACCGCTAGTAAGCTTGTAGATCGTATGTTGCAAGTATATGAATGTATATTTGGGCGAAAAAAACGTCGAAAAGCGGCACAGTTAGCCATTCATTGAGGCACAACCGCAGCATATACCATATACACAAACATTGCAACAACTATAAAAACAATAACAAGAACAAATAACATCAACAAACGACACATCAAGCGTCTATTACGGCTGTTGCAAGCACCTCGGCGACGGTGTTGTTGCGAAATGATGGCAATTTGTTTGGTGTCGCGCGGTTTTTCGCATCCTGTGGGTAATTAAAAATGCATTCCGTCTGTGTGAACTTGCACCAATAAAATGACGCGGCACGACCACACGACGCTGCCGCCACGGAGAGAGGCAAAAGAAATTGCAGGAAAAAAACTCAAAAACAAAAACAAATACAAATAAAACACGGTCGACTAACTTGCCACAGCCGTTAGTAATAGTGTTGGTGTTACTGACTATGGCATTTGACTCTGCACGCACAAATAACTGTGTTGGTGTTGCAGTGCCGACATGCGTGTGCAAATTGTAGGTGTGTCCGAAAACTGGTCACTGAAGTGGCAATTTGTGGTAATTACATGCCACTAATTTTTATTCAGTCTATTTATCACGGTTCTTGTGGCACGGTCACTTGGAACCACCTGCAACAGCAAGCGTTTTACCCGGATATTTCTACGAACAACAATATAAGGCATACATTTGGACCACCACATATATAATGCCATGAATAATCACACTTGGACAGATAGAGACGCATGTCCGTTGTGATGTCCAGAACTGCTAGGTATGAATCAAAATTAACTTTCGCATATCGACAAAACTCCTAGAGTGTGCCACTAATTTATTTAAGCGGCCAATATCCGACCCCAGCCAATTCGTCGGGTTCGTAGTAAGTACGGCAATCGAGATGCTTTAACATTAGGCTGGCGAATGCTAGACAGTGAAAAAGAAAATGCCTTGATGTTTCCACCTATCTTTCTCAAACAAACTTTGACAAGTTGAATTCTACAAAACCACCGCGTGAGTGCCACTGAGACAGTGTCCAGTTAGGAGATCTTTGCGGCTACCTCAATGGACTTTTTTAATTCCACTCTAAGCCAGAAGGTTTCCATACCCCTACAAGTGATAACAGGACAGTGATCTCTCTTATCATGACCTCAGTATTAATCAGGGAGAGTTTATATTATCATACATAGATATTGCCAGAAGGTGTATGACCGTCCTATGTGTCTAACCATTCGCAACTCGTCGCACGCTTTGACTACATACTGGATCTTGTGGATCATGTAGTCGGAAAACCAAACTCTGGTTGCTCTTTCTGTGCCTACATACTTGCGAGAAAGTTGTGAGTGGGTAGAAGTTGTTGAATAAAGCGCTGTGAGCTTCTTTAAGGCTGGGTTTAAGTTTGGTGTAGGGTTACGTTGGCAGAAACTCTCTATCAACTTTAGTTTTAGACTTTCTGACTATTCTAGTAATTTTCAAGCTGATGTTGCTGCCATTAAGGTGGCGGTAGGTTTACTGCTCCGGAGTGCAGCCTCCTTCAAAGAAGTGACTATACACTCTGATAGCAGGGCGGAGATATTAGCCGTGAGCTCACTAACCTTGCGTTAAGGAATACCTACTCTCATTGTCAATGACATCAAGTCACTTTGTGATAAGATTAGTATGGGTTTCAGGCTATAGCGGATATTGCAGGTAACTGTAAAGCTGACAAGCTGTCAGAGTAAGGCATCCTAGCCCCGCTATCAGTAGAATGAAAAAGGTAAGATACTCAACTCTCATCGTGTATTCTACTACGGGATAGCTGAGTTTCGGAGGAGCGTGGCCAGCGCTGAGCTATCATCGCTTCATCTTGTTGGCCCAAGATCGATCGCAAGAGATCCAGTGAGCTCTGTGCCCTCAGCGAGCTTCTACCTAGTTGCGGGGATATTAACAAGCATTTACCTTATCGGCATTCACGCTGTAAGGTTGAGAATCTCAGCGAATGACAGCTGCAGAAGCTCAACTCTAACTTCTTGATGGTCCCGCGTTTGCAAGAGCTAGGCCAAACACTTAGGAGCTCACATCTCATATTTCCCATAGAGCTAGTGGGGAATAGAAAGAAGGGTTACATTACAGTCTAAATAAATATTTTACAAAATAAATTTATTTTGTTTATCTCATTTTTCCAACCGTCTTGTCTTAATAATCTTTCAAATTTTATGAAATTCTACAGTTTTCATTAATTTATGTTTGTATCAAAAAATAATGGCTCGTAGTAACTCTTTTGAACAAGCTCTTTAAAAATAGTTTTCATTGAGCCTACTGAAATTCAATAATTGCCACAAAAAGCAAAAGAACACATCCTATATTAATGACAACAAAGCAAGAAAGCGAACTCGGTATTGAAGATGTTGATAAAAATGTTAGCGACTTAAAACGAAGTTTTGGAAAGCAAAAAATTTGCTTCCACGATACTTCAAGGGAATTTGTAAACTACATATTTTGTTCATATTCAAACAACCGCAACCAACTCCGCTCACACTCCTAATATGTACTGGAACTAGTCAATAAGGGTATGTATGAACTCGTTCACAGTTTCCTCTTTTCTATTTAAATCGTATACATTTTAATCATCTAATAGTCATATGTTTTGACAAATTTACTCTTGCAAAATTTGCGAAACCAATTCAACAATTTACACCAGTGCAGCATTTTTTTCGCGCTCGCTTGCAACAAACAACTCGCTTAATATAAAAAAGTTTCGCTTGCAAATGGGCTATAAATTTTGGAATCTATTATAGCTTAACTACGATTTTTTTTATCGCAAGCTATGCATTTTGGCTGACAACCATTTTAAATCGCCAATTTTTGGCAACACTTAATTCCCGTTACTCTATTTTGACTTTTCAAATTGTAACCAATTACTCAAAACACTTCGATTTCTGTCTGTTCGGTCTGTGCGCTCGAACGGTTTCACTTAAAATGTCAAAAAAAACTTTATCACCTGTAAACAAATCAACAAGCTGGCGCCAACACCTTTTTCGTACGGACCGTTAGGCAGGCATGTGCCTAGGCGATGTTGCATGTAGCATGCTACATTTTGCTGTTGCATTTTAATAAAATTAATTGAATGTTTTTATAAGCAACAAATAAAATAAATAACACGGCCAACATACTGGCAAACATATTTACTTGAGAGCGTATATATGTACACCATATATACATACATATATTTATACATACGTTTATGCTATGCGTATAATTGGTATATGA